TTTTCCGCCATTCTATAAAATTCACTCAATATTTTGCAAATAATATGTTAAATTTATAAGCTTTTGATTCGTTATAGTGTTGTTTATCATCACATGTATTCAATTTGATTATATTTATTCAATTTGAGTTGGATTTTTGAGAAAAAAAGGCTGATGTCCGTGAAAAAAAATGGAGTTTTTTTTTTTTTCCGCCATTCTCTCAATTTCAGTAAATATTTTGCAAATAATGTGTTAAATTTATAGGGTTTTGATTCGTTATAGTGTTGTTTATCATCACATGTATTCAATTTGATCTGATTTATTCAATTTAAGCTTGATTTTTGAGATTGAATGACTGATGTCTGTGAAGAACTTACGTTTTTTTTTTTTTTCTTCAATTCAATCGATTTTATTTAATATTTTGATAATAATGTGTTAACATTATAGGGCTTTGATTCCTTATAGTGATATTTGTCAAAACATGTATTCAATTTGATCTAATTTATTCGATTTGAGGCCGATTTTTTAGTTGGAATGATTGATGTTAGGTGGGTCTGTGAAGAACTGTCGTTTTTTTTTTTTTAATTCATGATCAATTTTTTTGAAAAATCGTGATTTTCCAAAAAATTGTGGCCAGTTTTTTATTATCATGAGGAATTAAACAACATTTTTAATTTTTATTGTTAAATTTCTAGTTCAAAAATTTGCATGTTGATAGATTATTTATGCAAAAAAATACAGGTTATTATATTTTTAATACAAAACTACATTTTTTAATTTGTTGTTAATGCAAAAAAATACATTAACAAATACATGTTGTTAAACTGTATTATATTTTTAATGCAGTTTTACATTAAAAATGTATTTTTTAATTGTTTAAATTTTTAATGCAAAAAATACATGTTGTTAAACTGTATTATCATGAGGAATTAAAGTGAATATCATTGTAAAAAAATCGTGGCATGTATGATAATTATATTATCTTGCATTTTTCAATTTTATTATTAAATTTTTAATGCAAAAAATGCATGTTCTTGATAATTAAGTTGTAGCCATGTTTGGAGCTTGCGTTTTTTATTATATTATCTTGCATATTTGTAATTGAGATGTCCGACTATTTGTGATCATTTCAATCAAGTTGGGATTGTGCTGACTATATCATTGTAAATTTTATTTGTGGCATCGTGAATGACTATATCATTGTAAATGTTTTTTATGTCAAATATACGTGTAGTGGCATTATGGATGACTATATTAATGTAATTTTTTTCTTGATTCTAAGTGTGACTTATACAGACTTTTTTTTATCTATAATGTTGCATAAATATTTTTTTTTTCTCAGTAGGAACTAATTCATGTTTGTCGAAATGAAGATTTGTGACAAGTCCAGTAGGAATGAAAATATTTTTGTCAATAGAAGTATTTTGCATTAACAACAAATATAACTTCATGAACTACCCCTACATATTAACACTACACATGGTGATTATTTTTTATGTTGAACTGTCAGGTTAATTCTTAACCTTTTACATATTAAAGTTGAACCATGGCAAGATCTGCGGAAGACCATGCATGGCAACATGGGGTCAGACTTGATCCCAACAAAAAAGACAAAATTATTTGTAATTACTGCCAAATAGTGATAAGTAGTGGGGTACATAGGTTCAAGCAACACTTAGCAGGGGTCAAGGGAGATGTTTCTGTGTGCAATAGTGTCCCTAATAATGTAAAAAAGCAGATGGCAGTATTTCTCAAGGCTACCAAAGGTAAAAAAATTGCAAAGCAGAGAATGGATGAGGAGATAGCTAGTTTATATACGCCATCAAGCGGGAATGATCCAGAAGAGCAATATAATAATGACCTAGAAGAGCAATATAATAATGACCTGGAGATGGCAACAAAAATAAGTTTACATGAACAATATCAGAGGGAACTTGGGTTTCGAATGCCCGGTGGTTATGACATAGGCATGCATGGTGGGTCTAGCTCAGACATGCATGGTGGGTCTAGCTATGACATGTATGGCGGGCCCAGCTTAGACATGTATGGTGGGCCCAAGTCGAGCATGTATGTCGGGCCCAGCTCAAATATGTATGGAGGGGTTGGTAGCAGTATGTGTCAACAAGAATCAAACGTTGAAGAAATAGTTCCTAGCTTATCTAGGAGTGTAAGTATTGCAGGTCATGGTCGTATAGACTCATTTCTCTCAAAGCCTAAGTCAAAACAAATGACCCTCAAAAGCATAGTGAAAGGTACGAGAAACATGTTGGGCAGATATGTTGGTAAATGGTTCTACAATAAAGGGATCCCCTTTGATGCAGTCAATAGCCCATATTTTCCACCTATGGTCAACGCAATCTAAAGAGTCGGGCCCGAGCTAAAACCCCCGACGGCATATGAGCTCAGTGGGCCAATATTGGATGAAAAGGTGGAGGAAGTTAGAAAGTGGATTGAAGAATATAAACAAAGTTGGCCAAGAACAGGCATTACTCTCATGAGTGATGGTTGGTTGAATAAAGTTAGCAAAAAGGAATTTGTAAACTTCTTGGCCTATTCCCCAAAAGGTACAGCCAGGGACGAAGAAGAATGCAAACTTCTACGTACAACTATATAATTAGATAGTGGAGGAGGTGGGAGATAAGCATGTAGTCCAGTTTATTATGGACAATGCGCGTGCATGAGTTTCTGCGGGCAGCAAGTTGATGGATAAGAGGAAGCATCTAGTATGAATCTCGTGTGCTGCACACAGCATCGATCTTATGTTAGAGGAGATCGGTGAGATCAAAATTGTGAAGGAGACTCTACCGGAAGCGAGGTTGGTGTCAAGATTTATATATAACCATTCTAAAATTTTATTTTTTTTCAAAGAACAGTCTAAGAAAAAAGAGATAATCAAGCAGGCCTGCCATAACCTAACTTTACAACAGATTACTTGGTTGTGGACTCCATTTGGGAATCTGAAGGTACAATAAAGAGATTCTTTACCAGTGAAGAGTGGTTAAATGACCGCCTCTCGAAGTCTAGTACCGGGCTAAAAGTAGACGGCACAGTCTCAAATAGGAGGTTCTGGTCTCGATGTTCCAGTATCGTAGAGGCCACTGCCCCTTTGGCCACGGTGTTAAGAATGGTGGATGCTGACAAGAAAGCTTCTATAAGCATCCTTTATGAAGGTATCGAGAAGGCCAAATCAGCTATTGGGGAGAAGTGTAGTTT